AGGATTGAGGGGAAGAGTGGAAGGAAGAGGAGAAGGAAGGATGGAAGGATGAGGGGAAGGATGGGTGGAAGGATGAGGGGAAGGAAGAGGGGAACGATGGGTGGAAGGAACAGGGGAAGGATGGGTGGATGGATTGGGGGAAGGATGAGGGGAAGGATGGATGAAAAGAAGAGGGGAAAGAGAAAGGTGGGGCGAAGGATGAGTGGAAGGAAGAGGGGAAAGAGGGGGAAGGATGAATGGAAGGATGAGGGGAAGGATGGAAGGAAGGATGGATGGAAGATGAGAAGGATGGATGGAAGGAAGAGGGGAAGGATGGATGGAAGGAAGAGAGGAAGGGTAGGTGGAAGGAAGAGGGGAAGGATGGATGGAAGGAAGAAGGGAAGAATGGATGGGAGGAAGGAAGAGAAGAAAGAAGAGAGAGGGGGAAGGATGGGTGGATGGATGGAAGGATGAGTAGAAGGATTAAGGGGAAGGATGGATGGAAGGATGGGTGGCAGGATGGAAGGAAGAGTGGATGGATGAGTGGGAGGAAGAAAAGAAAGAAGGGAAAGTTGGGGGGAAGGATGAGTGGAAGGATGGATGGAAACGTTGAGGGGAAGGATGAGTGCATGGATGGGAGGAAGGAAGAGGGGAAAGAAGAGAGAGTTGAGGGGAAGGATGGGTGGAAGGATGAGTGGAAGGATTGAGGGGAAGGATGGATGGAATGAAGAGGGGAAGGATGAGTGCATGGATGGGAGGAAGGAAGAGGGGAAAGAAGAGAGAGTTGAGGGGAAGGATGCGTGGAAGGATTGAGGGGAAGGATGGATGGAATGAAGAGGGGAAGGATGAGTGCATGGATGGGAGGAAGGAAGAGGGGAAAGAAGAGAGAGTTGAGGGGAAGGATGGGTGGAAGGATGAGTGGAAGGATTGAGGGGAAGGATGGATGGAATGAAGAGGGGAAGGATGAGTGCATGGATGGGAGGAAGGAAGAGGGGAAAGAAGAGAGAGTTGAGGGGAAGGATGGGTGGAAGGATGAGTGGAAGGATTGAGGGGAAGGATGGATAGAATGAAGAGGGGAAGGATGAGTGCATGGATGGGAGGAAGGAAGAGGGGAAAGAAGAGAGAGTTGAGGGGAAGGATTGGTGGAAGGATGAGTGGAAGGATTGAGGGGAAGGATGGATGGAATGAAGAGGGGAAGGATGAGTGCATGGATGGGAGGAAGGAAGAGGGGAAAGAAGAGAGAGTTGAGGGGAAGGATGAGTGGAAGGATTGAGGGGAAGGATGGATGGAATGAAGAGGGGAAGGATGGAAGGAAGGATGGATGGAGGGAAGGAAGCCACCCCATGACCCAGCCCCCCCTTCCTCCCTCCATGCACTTCCTGCTCCCCATTCCCACTTCCTGTTTCTTCTTTCCCCCCCCCTCCCAGGGACCCCAACCAGCCCGTCCCCCAGGACACCAAGTTCATCCACACGAAGCCCAACCGTTTCGAGGAGGTGGCGTGGTCCAAGTACAACCCCAGGGACCAGCTCTACCTGCACATCGGCCTCAAGCCACGGGTTCGAGACCACTATCGAGCCACCAAGGTGGCCTTCTGGCTCGAACTCGTACCCCATCTGCACAACCTCAACGACATTCTGCAGTACGTCTCCACCACCACCACGCGCGCCCCTGATGTCACGTCCTCCTCTTCCTCCTCCCACCCCAGGCGAGCCACCAAGAGGCCCACTTCCTCCTCCTCGTCCATCCTGGGCCCCAAGGCCTTGCGCCCAGAAGGTAAACTGAGGCAGGGGGGGACCGAGCACAGCACCACCACGGTGCTGATCGAGACCAAGCGCGACTACTCCACCGAGCTCAGCGTCACCATCGCCGTGGGGGCCTCCCTCCTCTTCCTCAACATCCTGGCCTTCGCTGCCCTCTACTACAAGAAGGACAAGAGGCGACACCAGACCCACAGACGCCCCTCCAGCCCCCCCTCCACGTCCACTCGGCCCCCAGCGCCCCAGGACGCCGCCCAGCGCCACCTGCTGCGCGCCAGCGCGCCCACCGAACTCCTATCCGTGCAGCTGAACCCCAACGTCGGCGCCCACGAGGCCAGGGACCTCCAGGACGCGCTCCACCTGACCTGTCCCCCCGACTACGCGCTGACCCTGCGCAGATCCCCGGATGACATCCCCCTGATGACCCCCAGCACCATCACCACCCCGGGACCGACTTTGCACACGTTCAACACCTTTGGGGGGGCGGGTGGGGGAGGGGTGGGGGGGCCAGGAGGGGGGTCAGGGGGTCAGAACAACCCCCTCCCCCACGCCCACTCCACCACGCGCGTCTAGGGAAACTGAGTCACGTTTTGGGGGGAGGGGAGGGGGGGGGGACATCACATTTGGGGGCTCCTGCGGGATTTGTTTTGCTCATTTCTTGCCCTCTCTGATTCCCCCCAAAAAAAAGAGGGTGGCAGGAAGTGACCTTTGACCTCCCCCCCAGGGACTGACCTTTGACCTCCACCCCCCCCCAATAGACTGACCCCCCACCCCCACCCCAGGACCTACCCATGAATGACCCATGACCCCCAACCAACCAACATGGCTGACCTGGAGACATGACAGTTGAAGGAAGAAGAGGAAGAGGAGGAGGAAGAAGAGAAGGGAAAAAGAAAAGGAAGGAGGAAGAGAAGAAGAAGAAAAGGAAATAGAACATGGAACAGGAAGAGGAAAAGAAGAAGGAAAAAGAGGAAAAGGAAGGAGGAAAAGAAAATGGAAAAAAGAAGGGAAGGAAGAAAAGGAAAAAGGAAGAGGAGGAAAGGAAGGAGAAGAGGAAAAAGAAGAAGAGGTGGAGGAGGAGGAAGAGAAAAGAAAACTAGAAGGAAAAAGGAAGAAAAGAAGGAAAAGGACGAAAAGAAAATGGAAAAAAGAAGGGAAGGAGAAAAAGGAAAAGGAGGAAAAGAAGAAAAAGAGGTGGAGGAAGAAGAGGAAGGAAACTAGTAGAAGGAAAAGGGAAAAGGAAATTATCACGTCCAGGGAACAGGAAGTAAGAAAGGAAAAGGAAGAAAAGAAGGAAAAGGAAGAAAAGAAGGAAAAGGAAAGAGGGGAAGGAGGAGAAAGGAAAGAACTTTGAGCCAAAAGAAGAAGAAAGGAAATAGAACATGGGACAGGAAGTGGAAAAGGAAAAGAAAAAGGAAAGAAAGGAGTAGAAGGAAGTGGAAGAAAGGAAGGAGGAAATGGAGAGGAAGGAGGAAAAGGAAGAGGAAGAAAGAAGGAAAAAAGGAAAAGAAGGAAGAAGAGGAAGAGGAAGGAAACATCTAGAACCAAGAGGAAGAAAGAAGGAAGGAAATGTCTCTCACTTCCAGGAAACAGGAAGTGGAAGAGGAAGTAGAGAACCAGGAAGTAAGAATAACGGTTATGCAACAGGAAGTGAAGCACCTGCCAACAGGAAGTGAAGGACCAGGAAGTAAGAATAACGGTTATGGGACAGGAAGTAGAGGACCAGGAAGTAGGAATAACGGTTATGCAACAGGAAGTAGGAAGTGAAGCACCTGGCAACAGGAAGTGAAGGACCAGGAAGTAAGAATAACGGTTATACAACAGGAAGTGAAGCACCTGGCAACAGGAAGTGAAGGACCAGGAAGTAAAAATAACGGAAATTGAACCGGAAGTAGGAAGTAAAACACCTGCAACCCGGAAGTGGAGCCTCAGGAAGGAAGAATAACAGTTATGGACCAGGAAGTGAAGCACCTACAACCCGGAAGTTGAGGGTCAAGAAGGAATTATAACGGAAATGGAACCGGAAATGCACCTGCCACCCGGAAGTGGAGAATGAGGAAGGAACTAGAACGGAAATGGGGCGGGAAGGCGGAAGCGGAGCCTCGGGGAGGAAGTGATCGCGGAAGTGGAACCGGAAGTGCACCTGCCACCCGGAAGTGAACCCGGAAGTGGGTCGTTTTCACCGCCCACGAGGCGCAGGACACCCTGAAACCGGAAGTGAGGGCGGAAGTGAGGGCGGAAGTGGGAGAGGAAGCGGAAGTGAAGGCGGAAGTGGGGCTGGGGAGGCCTCCTGAGGGCGGGAAAAGCACAGGCGCTTCCTGGTTTCGAACCCTGGGCCAGGGGGAAGAGGAAAGACGCACTTTGGGGGGATCAACTTCCACCTGGTCGAGTTGTCGTCGTTGTTGATCATTTCTTCCCTGTGGGGTTGAATTTTCCATTTCATTTTGATTTTCAATTCTAAATTTGATTTTCAATTTTAATTTTCAATTGGATTTTCAAATTCGATTTTGAATTTCAATTTGAATTTTAAATTTAAAAATTTTCAATTGGATTTTCAATTTCAATTTGAATTTTCAATTTTCAATTGGATTTTAAATTTGAATTTCAGTCTAAATTTTCAATTTTCAATTGGATTTTCAATTTTAATTTTGAATTTCAATTTGATTTTCAATTTCAATTTTCAATTGGATTTTCAATTTCAATTTTAAATTTCAATTGGATTTTCCATTTTCATTTTAAATTTCAATTTGAATTTTCAATTTTAATTTTAATTTTCAATTTCAATTTTCAATTGGATTTTTAATTTTAAATTTCAATCAGAATTTTCAATTTCAATTTTTAATGTGATTTTCAATTTTAAATTTCAATCTGAATTTTCAATTTCCATTTTCCATTGGATTTTCAATTTCAAGTCTCAATTTCATTTTCAACTTGAAATTCAATTTCAATTTTAAATTTCAATTTGATTTAATTTTTAATTTCCATTTTCAATTTGATCTCGTTTTCCATTTCAATTTGCAATTGGATTTTCAATTTTAATCATTTCAATTTCAGTTTGATTTAATTTTCAATTTCCAATTGGGTTTTCAACTTCAATTTGGTTTAGTTTTCAATGTTAGTTTTCAATTGGATTTTCAATTTTAAATTTCAATTTGAATTTAATTTTCAATATTCAATTGGATTTTCAATTTCAGGTTGATTTAGTTTTCAATTTCAATTTGCAACTTGATTTTGAATTTTCAATTTCAATTTTATTTAATTTTCAATTTCAATTTTAAGTCTCAATTTGATTTTCAATTCGATTTAATTTTCAATTTGAATTTGCAATTGGATTTTCAATTTCAATTTGGTTTAGTTTTCAATTGCAATTTGCAATTAGATTTTAAATTTCAATTTGCAATTGGATTTAGTCTTCAATTTCAAGTTGCAATTGGATTTTGAACTTTAAATTTGAAGTTGATTTAATTTTCAATTTGCAATTGGATTTTGAATTTTAAATTTCAGTTTGATTTAGATTTCAATTTCAACCATTTTAATTATTTTAATTGGACTTCTTAATTTTTTGATATTTAACTTTCAACTTCAGTTTGATTTTCAATTCTAATTTTTGATTTCTCTTAATTCCATTTTTAATTTTCGATATTTTTTGTAATTGAAAATTTTAAGGATTTTGGTTTTCTGTGATTTCCATTTTCAATTTTTGGTTTAATTTTCTTTTTTTTTTTCCTTTTTTGTGTGGGGGGGGGTTGAGGGGGGGGAAACTTGATTTTTCTGTTCATTTTTGGGGAGGGGGGGTTGATCTGAACTGTAACTTCAGAAACTTTGTACAAAAGAGGAAATTTAAAGGAAAATGTATATGAGAGAGGAAAAAAACAACTCCAAGGACCACAAAAAGGAGATTTTTGTAACAAAAATGGGTGTTTTCCCATGTGAAAGAACTTTCTAGAAGTCTCTGTGAACAAAAAATGGATGTTATTGGGGATGAAAGAACTTTCTAGAACTCTCTATGAGCAACCATGGGTGTTGTTTAGACTGAAAGAACTTTCTAGAAGTCTATGAACAAAAATGGTTGGTTTCTAGAATGAAAGAACTTTCTAGAACTCTCTATGAGCAACAATGGGTGTTATTTGGCATGAAAGAACTTTCTAGAGCTCTCTGTGAGCAACAATGGGTGTTATTTAGGATGAAAGAACTTTCTAGAAGTGTCTATGAACAAAAATGGTTGATTTCTAGAATGAAAGAACTTTCTAGAAGTGTCTATGAACAAAGATGGGTGTTGTTTAGGATGAAAGAACCTTCTAGAAGTCTATGAACAAAAATGGTTGGTTTCTAGAATGAAAGAACTTTCTAGAAGACTCTGAACAAAAATGCTTGTTATTTGGGATGAAAGAACTTTCTAGAACTCTCTATGAGCAACAATGGGTGTTATTTGGGATGAAAGAACTTTCTAGAAATGTCTTTGGACCAAAATGGATGTTGTTTGGGATGAAAGAACTTTCTAGAACCCTGTGAACAAAAATGGATGTTTTCCAATGTGAAAGAACTTTCTAGAAGTCTCTGTGAACACACATGTATGTTATTTAGGATAAAAAGAACTTTCTAGAAGCCACTCTGAACAACCATGGGTGTTTTCCAGGGGGAAAGAACTTTCTAGAAGCTTCTATGAACAAAAATGGGTGTTTTCCAAGGGGGAAAGAACTTTCTAGAAGCTTCCTGGTTCTCCCAGTTGCTGGGAATGTGTATACCTCTCTACCTGTAGAACATTCCAGAAATCATCATCATCCTCCAGGAAGGAAGAAGGAATATTCCCTTACTTCCTGGTTCAAACAGGAAGTAGGAAGTAGGAGGAGGAAGTGGGGGAGGGAGGGAGGTAGAGGTCAGGGGTCATGGGGATGGGATTTTCATCCCTGTGGTCTGATTGGATCCTTCCTGTGACGTCATGATTCATGGATCCTGCATTGGTTGATTTCCTGTTTGATTTCCTTTTGATTTCCTGTTTGATTTCCTTTTGATTTCCTGTTTGATTTCCTGTTTGATTTCCTGTTTGATTTCCCTTTGATTTCCTGTTTGATTTCCTTTTGATTTCCTGTTTGATTTCCTCTTTCATTTCCTGTTTGATTTCCTTTTGATTTCCTGTTTGATTTCCTCTTTGATTTCCTGTTTGATTTCCTCTTTGATTTTCTCTTTGATTTCCTGTTTGATTTCCTTTTGATTTCCTCTTTGATTTCCTGTTTGATTTCCTGTTTGATTTCCTCTTTGATTTTCTCTTTGATTTCTTCTTTGATTTCCTGTTTGATTTCCTTTTGATTTCTTGTTTGATTTCCTGTTTGATTTCCTTTGATGGTTTGATGATGATTTTTATGGTTTTTAATTGGATTTTTATTTGATTTTTATCATTTCATTTTTAGATTATTTAATGATGATTATTTTTTAATTTGATGAGATTTGATTTTTAATTGAATTTTTATTATTATTTCATTTTAATCTCAATGATGTTTTAATTTTTAATTAGATGATTAGATTTTTATTTGACTTTTATTACTTTATCATTTTTAATTTGGTTTTTATTTTATTTTTTCATTTTTATTATTTTATTAATTTCGTCTTAATTTGGAGATTATTTGATTATTTTATTTGAATTTTATTTCATTTTTATTTGATGGTTTTGTTAATTCTTATTTTTATTTTTTATTATTTTATTCTCATCTTGTTTTTAATTTATCATTAAATTCTTATTGAATTTTATCTTATTTATTATTTAAT